TGCAGGGGGCTGCGTACCCCATTTAGGGTAGTGAGGCGCTTACTTCTGTCCCTAGTTGTGGCGGTAAAACACAACAGAGAGAAGCAGCACCACCGCACAGGGGATCTCAAGGGCGTTGAAGAGGCTATGTCGATGTCGTCCGTCGTTGACATGAGGGAAGTAAGGGGAAGAGCTTCCGTTCGCAAGCTTCGACTTGAGCTGAACGTTGTGATAGCGTCGGGTGAGGACTCGTAGTCTCCTGGCGAGGAGAGTTGGTTTAAGACATAGAGGGATTGCGGCAGAAGTGCCTATGGCGCCAACTGTGTGTAGACTCGTCAGCTAACGCCATTATAGCAATGAAAATAGCCTTACTTGAAAAGTCTCCACAATAGATGCGAACTGATACATCAAAGGCCCTCCAACCGCACCTCAATAACTTGCGAACGGCCACGACCCCTCTGTTCAGTGTTTGCTAGCAAGGGCTCCTTCAAGCATCGCCATTATCAACGCTAACGAAACATCAAGACCTTGACAACGCAATGGCGAGCAAGGATGGAGTGGTTTTGAGCAAGGCTGATGAGAGGCTTCAGGCTAGGAGGGTTGGCGATGAATGTTGGGAGGGGGGATCAGACTAAGAGAACTCGCGAGGCTGGGGCCAATTCGCCCTCGCTATTTCCGGTTTCATAGCACAACTCTCCAGACGGAAAAGAAGGCGAAAGTGGGACACGAGGGTAGGTGTGTTTGGCGACGACAAGCACCTTGATCCTTCCTTACGTGCACCTAAGCAAAGACCTCCATACCCCACAAACACTCCGCGCATTATCCCTCTCTCCCGTCCAGGGTATTAGCGCTGTATGGCATATCGGCAGCTTCCTCCTCTTCAGAGAACCGGGAGGGTGTTGTATGGGTGCCTGGAATCATGAAGGTGTGTCTGTTTCGAAGAGAGTTCGAAGTGGTGCTGCGAGAGAGTCGTTTGTAGATACTTGGTGGATGACGGTGTTGGAGATAGTGTTGAGGTGTCCTGTTAAGGGAAAGAGAGAGGAAGAATGGCTGTGATTCCGATGCTCGTTTTCGAGCTCTTGATCGTTGATACTGGCGAGCAGCCGCTCGATAACGTCCGTAACCTTCCTATCCTCCAAAGAATGATCAGCGAAGATGTCGCCTGGATACTTCGAGAAAAGGAGAATGGAATGAGCCATCCAGGCGAGTCAAAAGATATAGAAGAAATTCACACCTTTTCTTTGGGGTAAGTGTCTTCGGATTACGCCTCGACGAAGCACAGCCTCCCAGCAAAGCTCGTTGTCGAAACCTCAGCCCCATCGGCATCTTTAGCCGCCCAGAGGAAGCCAGCTCCACC